TGCTAGACGGAGTTAAACCATGACATTGAGCCATCGAACAATTACTGAAAACAACAGCTAACATGAGAACGGTCTAGAACAGAAAGAGAGTATAGACCCCATCAGCTTTTGCCATCAACAGAAACAAAACATCAGCAGTTTTGGGGAAAAGAAGGAGGGGAAGTGCTAACTAAACACAGATATCGGTCAGCCAGCTCTTTAATTAGTAAAAACAAAGATATGAAGTGAAATGACTGGTTATCACTCGTCTATGATACACAGCAGAAGCAGCCCTTTGGCATGTAGTTCCAGAGGACCCACAAACATTTTTCCAATGCATGCATCACCGTGAAGATCTGCAAAGTAAGTGTGATTCAAAATACTTCCTTATGTCCTTAAAAATTCACCATTTTTCTGCTGCAGCATTCTCTGTAATGCACAGGGACATACACCCATTTAAATGGAAATTGTTACCTGTCCTCTCGTTGGCAGATCTTTTACGCTGTCAGGTTTAAAGAAGGTGAAGTCAATCAGAGCTTGAAACAAAGACACTGCTTTCTCAGAATGGCCAGCCTGCCTCAGAAAGTGGCACTGCTGAACAAATATCGCTGTGAAGTAAAGAAGATAAAAGTTTAATATTTCAAACAAATTTTGTTGCAAAGTATTTTATTACAGCCCACAAATACATGAAAGACACATGAATTGCTGTAGAGCACAATGGTTTTGGAACAGTATCAAAATCCAAAACACAGGCTGTAACTAGCAAAAATGCATGTCCAAATTGTTGGTTTAATTAACTTTAAGACCTCCCACTTTAAATGCCCCAAAGAGACGACTTTTTATCCCATGCCATACGTACACTGTCCTTGTTAATGAGTAAAAGTTACACGCAACGGTCCCAACTTCAGCTTATCCAACACGTGTCAGAGTGGGTCACAGCCCTCTCTGAAGATGCTGAACATTGTTACAATTCACACAGTGATAACAACAAAAATATCCTTTTTGCCTCATTTTTGCATGAGACAGTTACATTGGTAATACGCTGGTAAAATACCATTTTCATTCCAACTGTCATTCCCATTTTCTCCTCTTTTACTTAAGAACTCAGTTAGAAGCCTGGTCTTTTGGCCAAAGTATTACTGCTTGAAAGTAGAGAAGAGTCCCACCCCTTGCTCTTCAACAAATTATTTCTATAATCAGTGCCATATCTCTACTACACACTGAGCCTCAAGTCTCAGCTCAGAAAGGGAAGCAAAGCTCCATTTTTTCTATTCCTATATTTGCAATGAGGGTCTTAAATGAAAAGGCTGGAGAAATAACAGGTATTATAAACAGCTCTATTACTAGGCAGTTCAAGGACTTTTCAGAGCTATTCCATCACTCCAAAATTACACTCAAGTCTTTACAAAACAGTGGCTGTTCAAAACCCAAATCACTTTAATTCATAATCTTAATTGGCTTGGAAAAAAAAAAACCAAACCCAAACCCACCAAAAAAAACCCCAGCCCCGAAATCCATGAATCAAGACTTAAATAATTCATTGATAGTTGTAAAAACAGTTCTTCAAAAACTATTGTTTTTTCACTAAATGCATTGGTTTTGGAGGGCTTTAAAAAAAAATCAAAACACTTAAGTGTCCAGATTCCCATATGTAACAGCACAGGTTAGCACTTTTAACCATCATCTTATTTTTTAATGCTAAGGAAGTGGCAAATTATTTACTCCTTTTCCCTGTATTCAGATTTACATCAGTTGCGTACCCATAAAAATCTGAATTCAAACTAGGCATTTCTCTGATTTTCCTGCAAAGTCAATGATTGTTTCTGATAACAAAGACACTGACATTTCTGAAGATATTTAAACAACAAAATTACGTTTAAGTAGGTAACAGAATCTTCCAAAGTATTTTAACCAAATTAGACACTGTGTCCAACTGACACTGAAAAAAGTTGTCCTTTCCTAGTTTCTAAGCTTCAAACAGATGAACTTTGATAAAAATAGTCTGAATGTAGAGAATCTCTCACCAGGACTTGCTGCCAAACTGAAGCCAAAAATAAATTATAGCATAAAATTTTCTGCATGGAGAAAAAGATATTTGAAGAAATGCAAAGATCAACATTTTCTTTGTGGTAAAAGCTGAAAACAGCATGAATACATGCTTAATTCTGTCCATGATGCTAAGACACTTCTGCAGCTGAACTGACCTAAAAGATAAGGAAGTTTCTCCCCAACCAGTAGGTATAATTTGAAAAGTAGGATTCCCTTTTCCACAGCAAAATTTGAGAATGCTTGCCTTCATCTGCTTTATATTAACAGTTCCTAGTAAACTTAAAACATTACTAACTGGTACTTCAAATTTAATTGAAAATTATAGATAATTTTTTCCTTAAATTTTTACCTGCTTAAATTGTGCACCCACCTATTTCCAAGCAGATAGTACTGCACACTGAATTGAACGCTAGATGGCATAGTCCACCACTATTTGAAATTAGCTCTTACACTTTGGCATTAGCAAAGGTCAAAGGTTGAAGATACAGGCCTACCATACATCTGTGCTGCTACTCACCTCATAACTGATTTGTGAAACACGTTGTATATTTATCTTAACGAACAATTTTATAATCTTCCTAATACATACACTGACAATTCAAATGCAGCCGAAGAATTACATAGCTGAGTCACTAAAAAAAAGATCTCAGATCAGGAAGTCTCTCCACTGGAAATTTCTCCACTCCTATAATTTGAATTCCAAAAGGGAAAAAACCCCAAACCCCTCAGCAGTGTTCATAAACAAATCACTATAGTCTTAATACAGAACTACAGGACATTAAGAATGGCACAGAAACACAAATAAAGTTGAGTTCATTTTCACTTTAACCTATGTCTAGACATTGCCAACAAACAGGTATTTTGAAAAATGTCAACTGATCCAGTACAGTTAACTAGCTAAAGGAACTGCATTAAAAAATCCAAACAAAAGACCAGATTTCTCAAAGCAGTTGACAAACTGCATTTAATGAGTCAAATATGTGCTGTCCAGGGAAACAAGATGAAAGAAAAACCTTCCTGTTTGAAAAAATAGATGCTGAATAAAAAATTTGCCCTGAGAATCATTCATTGTGGTTAGTGTACAAAGTGACTGAGGTGTTGGAAGTCAGAGACCGTAGAAGCAATTAGAAGCTATCAGGCAGTACATTATCCACCTGCCAGCGCAGGATTTTTCCTTTACAGCACTTTTTCCAGTGCTTGATCCAAGATGAATCAATCGAAGACCATAAGAGATCTGAACACCTGAAACTAGTCTGTAACCCAGCATCTCAAACTCTAAGCCCAGACCAGATGTTGCATAACAGAGAGTACCACTGCTCAAACAGCAGTTACAGGACGTGGATGAAAACAGAGGTTCCCTGGACTATGCCACAATTGAAGAACTGTGGATGCTTCATAACGATCTCCTCTAGATTTAAAACAAATTTTAAAAGGAAAAAAAAAAACCACCAAACCCCAAACATATTCAGGGTTTTACCACTATTTCCCCCTCCTCAGTGCATTCATAGATTAAGAATCATAATGACCCCGTAAGGTAGAGAGGCAAAATTGAAATGGGATAGGTTAAGTCATTTTGCTCCAAATAAATTTAATGCTCATTCCAGAATTGAGCATGAACTCATTTCTTCCCTGGATCCAGTCCAGCATCCTAACCATTTGACTAATTTTCCTTCCAGGGATAATTATACAATAACTTGTAAGTGGTAGGTATATGCATACAATAAATACAAAAGTCATGATCGCATGGTATTACAGTTCAGAATTCATCTACGAACTGGGATGCACAAGAAGATTTCAGACTTCCCACATCCCTTCTCTCTTCTGGATTAATCAACTATAAAGCTTCTGAACACGGGATGATTGTTGCTTTCACAAGCCAACTTTTTTTTTTTTAAATAAACATTTTTCAAAGCTAAAAGCACATCTCTTGGCTGCAAGTCTCCAGCCTTAATATTGGTACTGTAAACCACTCAGCACATTAGATGCTACTGGATGTTATATCACAAACTCTCCCAGGGAAGAAAAGCATCTGCTATATCCATATTTGGTTGGAATATCTGCCTTAATTCTCAGCTAAGAAATCAGGATGCCAGACATTTTGAAGAGAATAAAAACTTCCTGTAATAAGCAAGAAAGTCTACTCTTACAGAGAATGCCGTCAACTCCTGTGAAGACCACTGTGACCAGATCATGAACCAGAAAGAACCTTACCTAGCATAGCTTCTTCTGTGCCAGGCAGCGGAGGATGTGACACCATGCTGCCATCCTGCACAGCTGACAATGTCGTCAAACATTTTCCGTAGAGGCTATTGATTTTTGAAACCGAAAAGGTAGTGAACTGACTTTGACAGAACAGGAGGTATTTCTTCCACAGCTCTGGATTGTTGGGATGTAAGAAAATTAGCTTCTGCCATTCTTTGATCACAGCTGGTGGTTCCCAGAATTCCGTGCAAATCTTCAGCCTGGCGAGTTTCAGATCAACATTACTTGGATTGCTTTCAATTGCCCTCTCTAAAATAGCCAGTTTCTTTTCTAAGATTAACTTCAGGGATTTTCTTCTTGCTTCCTGCTCTCCCTTATTGGCATATGGGCTAGGTCCTCTCATTAGCTCATCCTTAAAACAAAAGGAAAAACCATTACAACATTAGGGAGAACCATCACTAGAATCACCGGAAGAATGCTGACATTTGTGAAGATCAATTAACAGCTCATTCTTCACCAACAGGAGATATACAGTCCTAAACAAATGAAACTACAGTACAACCGTTCATGTATTTAGAAGCAGCAACCAGGTCGGTCAGCACACATACCTGAAAAGAAACAAATTCCATCCAAGCATTAATATCTCTTGGATTTTCTCTGACTTTCTTGTTATGTTCTTCCACTTTTGTCATTAGAATGGAGTTAAGCTTTATCCCAGGCTCTTGAACTGTTTGCTGCTCATCTACAGGCTCATGGTCTGCACTCTTGCACCCTTCTTGTAGCCACGCTGTAGTTGATGGATCATAAATCCCAAGAGGATTTACCTCCTTTGTGTTGGAGGCATCACCAGTTTCCATTTGGAAAACTGGTATAAAAGCAGTTGGGTCAGATGGAGAACTTCTACTGCAAACAGGAATCCCGTCTGTGTTCAGCACCTTCACGTTGTTCTTTGAGAAGTAGCGCTCAGGCTGCCTCTGTAATTGCTTCCTTTTTGATGCAGAACCGTCCCAAGTTATACGCTGTTTCTTTGCATCTATGCCAAGACAGGAATCTCCTCTCCTTTTATATCTTAAAAGGAAAAATACAATTAAACATCTTCTAAAATACATGTTACAAAAGATACCTCCCTTTTGAAAGAAAGCGTGGAAGAAGCACTTTAATTCAAATTGACCCAAATGATGTATGCATTGGCCTTCAGAAGTGTAAGACCTTTGTATTTTCTCCTTACTTAAGACTTCAATTTGTACATTTTTTCACTGCCATCACAACTTTTATTATCAATTTATCACTTCTGAGTTCAACAACATCTGTCATACTCAGCAGAAGAAAAACATCTTTTTCCTCCTATCATTTTAAGCCATGTAGGCAAACCTGGAGAAAGAACAGACTGCATTATTTAAGGACATTTAGATTAGATTGTTTTAAACTACAAATCACACACCAATAGTTTGGTCCAGTAATATCTTTCTGTATCCCTAAACCACTACCCATTTTATATGCCAAAAAGTGGGCGGGGGGGTGGAGAGGAGGGAGAGTCCAGGTTCACAAAGGCCACAATAATCCTATGGATTAAGAAAGGAAAATACCATTTTAAAATATTACCAAGAATGTCATTTCAGTAGCAGACATAGTGACGTGCAATGCTAAAATAACACTTTTTGTCTCAAACAATAGCTGACAATCCAAAGGTGGCAGAAAATTGGAATGGATTGTAACCAGGCAATTTTACTGCAAAGGTATATACACTACAAAAATAAAACCCACAAATCCTTCCTCCTCCACAAATAATTACTTTTCAGATATGGTAGACCATTTTCCTTGAGACGATCAAGAAGTAAGTGTACATCCATAATGCACAAGTGTAGTGTGGGCTCCTTCAGATGGGCTTCTCCATTAGTGCAGGGAAAAGTGCTGAAGGGTCACCATAGCACCAAGTAACCCACTAGGGATGCTGAACATGCTATTTCATCGACAGCCATTGGAAATGCAGCACTGCGTACGACAGATGCCCTCTGGTACAATGTCTGCGTGATCCAACGCAATCTGTTTGCTAAGGAAGTATCTGTACGTTTTTTTTTTGCAAGGGTATCAAAGTACTCAAACAATCAACCTCTTGCCAAAGCTAGTATGAAATAATCAGTACCTTTATTTCCCTTTCATACACAGAAAGGGAACAATCAAGATCAAAAGGGGCGCTCGCCCAAAGATGATCTCTAACAGAACCCAGGATTTCCAGTGGGTGACACACTGGCTTTAAACTGAAAGTGCACAGATTTAGATCAGATGCCAGGAAGAGATTCTTCATAGTGAGGGTGGTGAGGAACAGGTTGCCCAGAGAAGCTGTGGATGCCCCATCCCTGGAAGTGTTCAAGGCCAGGCTGGATGAGGCTTTGAGCAACCTGGTCTAGTGGAAGGTGTCCCTGCCCATGGCAGGGGGGTTGGAACTAGATGGTCTGTAAGGTCCCTTCCAGCCCAAACCATTCTATTTCTGACCTCAAAACCATGCTTCTGCATCTGCCCCATGCTGCCATCTCCAGGTGGCAGTTCTACACGTTCACATGCCTGCAGTCTACCACACAGAGAATGTTTTTAGGAAAAAAAAAAAAAAAAATCAAAAACATGCACTTTATTCTTTTTGCCTTTTAAAATATTTCTGCCTAATGCAAAGTCACACTTCGAAATAAACCATCTTATTTTCTCATCTTCTACGTAAGAAATTCACAACCAGACTCGATAATGAATCCTGAGATAGTGATTCTGTGATAGTCTGAATACCAATAGAAACCAACATACTGTACCTTGCTATGTCCCCTCGATACAGGGACTTGTAGGCCCAGTTTGCAGGGTCTGGTTTCTTGTCCATTCTGAAGGTTTCTGCTGCGAAAGCCTGGATATCATCAAGCCAAATAAAGCGATTGCTGGTAAGATCTGATGATCTCTTATCTAGACTGAAGAAAAGGAGAAGTAGTATATTCTAAACATTGGTGAATATATTCAGCATTTACAAAACTCAGGAAATACTGCATTTCTGTAGTCAGAATAGTTTACTCAAAGTCACAGTACATGACCCATCATTGCAAAGTCAGTCACACTCTCGGAAAGAAACAACTAAAAATACACTAATAGGAGCATCAAAACAAATCGCACACACTCTATGCACTTCCAAAAATTGAATTTAGGATTAGGAAAGGTAATACTCTGATTTAACCAATTCATTGCTTGGTAAACTATAATCTAAAAGCTGTATGTTACTACTATTAAAATTTACTTTTATTTTTCTTAATTGTAGTATCTTACTAGAAGAGGACAATCTGTAAGAGGCTTATGTTGATTAGCTATAATTACATCCATGCATTTGATAAAATAACAGGCAAAGTGCTTTTTGGGTTACAGTTGTACAAAAGAACTTAAGTGGAAATTGCCACCCGCCTCTGAACTCAACTTCCAATCTGAACTCATGTTACAAATGTGTAACAGTCTGGAGAAGCTCTCTAGAATTTTACGAAACCTACTGCATTTAAAGCAATTCTGTGGTTCAGGTTTCAACAACAGTCTCCTATAAACTCAATAGTCCCTCAGTATCAACAATGTATGGAAAGAAGTGAAAACAGACACCCTGGAAGAACTTCAACCCTTTTATTTTGGCAAAGCACTGGCTGCTTGGCCCAGTCAGGCAAACAGCCGATGAACCAGGTTCAGCACATAATTCCATTTCACCCAGCCCAGACACTCTTCCAGCAAAGGCAGGAGAGACTGGGCAAAGCAGAATGGTCTTAGCAACCCAGTGATTGTTACTGTGCTTCCCGACAGCCCAGTAAGCCTTTGCTGCCACAAGCCAACAACAGCCTTCCTATGGCACGTGGTGAGGGTGGCTAAAGGCAGCCGGCAACTCCTCTGGTACCACTGCTGTTCTTCCACAAGGGAAACCATGTCCAGAGCCCTTGGCACACACACAAGCCCACCAACCCATGCTCTTGGCTCCTGGTAAATCTGCCTTGGGAAAAGTAGTAAAACTGGGGAGAAGTCCAGAACTGCCTGGACAACACCCAGCTGTAACAACAATTCCTCAGTGTCACAAATCCTCACTGTCCCCAGGAGCAGCTGCGGTGCTGTGAATTAAGAGCCAGAGAAGCTGATGCTAAAGAAAAAACAGGAACCAGGGAATCAAAGAGAGGCGAAATGGCTGCTCAAACCAGCAAACATGATGAGAAACCGGGAAAGGTGACTTACACAGCCAGCTAGATCGGGCCACTTCAAACGAAATGATCCAAGCCCAACAGACTGAGAAACGCAGAGCTGGGTATGCCAAACCCGAGTACTCGGTGTGTTCACAGAACCTCTTCTACTGCTCAAAGATCATGCTAGTCACTAGCTACCTATTTTCTTGTTCCATATAAAAATGACACCTCCACTAATTACACAGTACTTCAGAGCTCCTGGGTTTAACAAAAAATGATCTAGCAAAACAGTTTCAATTGTTCAGATACTCATCCGGATGTACCATGAGCAAGAAGTATGAAGCACACCGCACAGACCAATAAATGGTTGGACATAAAAGAAAATGTTAAATTGTACAACAAACTTTGTCTTAATATGGAAAATAAAAGAAACGTTAACTCTGTGAGGAGGAAGTTATATCACAAGGCAAACACTGCTGTACGTTAGGACTTCTGCACTAATTATGAATAACGTTTAACGCAGCCTCTCTCCAAACTCCCCCAGTAACCAAAAGATCCATGAAAGGAAACAAGGCATACAAAAATGCAACATAAGTCTCTACATGTCTTTAAAAAATGCATTTCATTACCACCATACCATGCTTTGTTCTGCAGAACAGTACTTCCCAGAAGACTTCAGTCACAGTTTTTCAGAGATGATTAAACAACAAGTGTTTCTAATTCTATTGTCACTGCTTGGAATACAGGTTTAGTCATACACAGCTGAGAAAAAACTACTCACCAGTGGCAAGAATTTAATTCATAAAGCTGAAGAGACAAGAACACAATGAATTTACAGCTTGCATAGTATTAACAAATACATACTTTGCTGCTGCTTCCTTTTTGTGACTTCTGCCACTTCTTGCGGCTTTGTCCCTGATGTGCTTAGTGTCCGGGTCTAATTTGCTGCTACTGGAGTCCCCTTTGGCTTTCCTTTTTGTCTTCTTAGAATGGTGATGCTTTTTCTTCTTCTTATCTGACTGTTTCAGACTCTCATCTCTATCACTTTCCCCTGACAACTCTGATCTGGAAATAGCCCTGCTTGGGAACAAATACACACATATCTATATTCATCTACATATCTAGTAAAACTGTAAAGAAATACCACCATGAGCAAGTTCAGAATCACTTTACCCTTCTCTGACCTTTATTCTCCCTGCATTTTTGGAGAAGCAAGTTAGCAGCAACACGTACAATTTGCATTAAATGACAACTATCTTTATTTTTTCAGTGGCTGGAATTACTGACCACCAACCCTGAAGTTTTAATCAAAGGTATTTTGATGTGTGATCTGTATGAATATCCATTTCTTATAATCTCCAAATTAAAGATGATGACTGAGCTGATAAAATTTCCTAACTTTGCTAAGATAACTTAGGAGAAGCTACAAGGATGGGAAATCTTTCAGGGTGACCTGCAAAAGAAAAAAGTCTGCACCCTCTGCTTCCTTATTTCTTTACGTTTTACGTTAAGAAATATCAAAAACGCACTTAAAAATCACTTCCAGATTAGAAATTCAAATCTCACCTCTCAAAGAAGAGTTTTTGATGACTACTGTTATTATGTAATGCAGTAACAAACACTACATGCACCAGGCAACTGACTGAGTGATCACAGAAAGGACTGACAGCTTTGACAAAACACACGTCTGTGATCGGACATACTAACGTATACTCCCATAGGTAGTGGTCAGCTGAAACAACGGAGGTCTTCTCCAACCCTTAATTAAAGCACAAGCTCTTTCTGAACAGTTTTACTGGAACCTTTCAGTAAATGAAAGGAATGACAAGTCTCAGTATTCCTAATAGGTCAACAAAAGAATATGCAGCGTTTGGGAAGCAAGGCACCTCAGAGAAGAATCTTACACAATTTATTTAAGGGCACAAAGACAACAGAAGCTAAGGGAGAACCATTAGCAGGCCTTTACAAGAAACACACACACCCCAAACATAAAACTCCACAAAAAACACCAACTATGTTGAACACCAGTTATGTTTCACTGTACTGAGAATGTACCCTAGTAACAGGCAAAAAGATCAAACATTCCCCCGTATGCCACTTTTTGACAAATCCTTTTTGAAAGATTAATCAAATATGGTGGGTTTACTATGTCATTCAATATGAATGGTAATTTGCAAATTCTTTCAGTTTACATTAAAGTCCTGAAAAGATTTGAAGAAATACATGCAGAATATATGGCTGATTAACACAAAGGTGATTTCTTTCAATCACATAATAAATGTAAATATAAGAATAAGTATATAAAAAGATGTATCCAGCTGTGATTGTTATTATGAAGACATAAGACATTCTCTATCATGACCACCAACAGTCATCATAAACACCGGAGCTTGTATCAAATTAAAACTGACTAAGTTTTTGAACTTGGCAACTGCAAGATTCCACTATTAAGCGTTAGTTATAGTGAGATATGCCAAGTACAGCAACTATTCTAGTGAAAGTATTAAAACTAGTTCTTCAGCAAACATAGCTGCTTAAAGTTCATTTTTGTAAAAGAGCATCATCACCCACTTCAAGTATAAGCATGTTCTACACAGCCATACAACCTGATACATGTAACGGTTCATTAATTCCTATCTTCAATTAGTTTTTAAAAAGTAAAAAAACTCAACTGTGAAATGGCTGACCGAACTGGTTTTCACAGAGAAATCACAAAGATGATGCTTAATCTTTACATTATTTCAAGGGTCACTTAGGACATTCAAAAGCTAATGAAGAATCATGATCACTCAGTTCCCTTTCCATTCTGAAATAACAATGATTTAAATGCAGCTGTGAGAAAAATAGAATGGGAATGTAATTGCTTAAGTGTAATTTCTCATTATTTTAAGTTAAAGGACATGGAAGCATTATTCATACTTTTATATATGACTCAGTTCAAGCCTTTTTAAATACTGAAGAGCAGAATGAAAAGCAGCCCTAAAACCTCCTGATTTTGGTCTCATGTAACAAAAGATAAGCAGGATATAAAGAGGCTATTTCAAAAGATACTGAAGTATATTATACCTTATTAGTGGTGATTTTTCAGGGGTGAGATTTCCAACTTCTGTAGTACGCTGATGCAGTAACAGTGCCTCTTCTGTAGAGAAGCTTGGGTTACTAAGCCAGTCCAAGTCTGCAGGTAAAGGAAAGTGTGAGAACAATACAGATCAGCTTGCTGTGCTTTTTAAAGTTGGGAGTTAATCTAGTCAGCAGACAGCTAAATTCACAGTAAATGTCACTAGGTCATGTAATAATTGAGCGTATTGGAAGGCAGTCCATGAAATTTCCATGTAGCAGAACACTAGCTTTTAATGAGGTGAAATATTTAGGAGCTGGAATCTTCACCTGACATCAACCTAAGTTTTAAAAACACCATTTAGTAATACTTTAAAGTTCATACTGAAAGCAGATAATATATTTTGTACACTGCTGTATACTTAAGAAAAACCCAAATCTGTCCAGTATTAATTTTTACCACTTAAAGTTTCTAACTTTACATATCTGTAAATTTTATATGTTATATATGCATAATTATAGATCTTGTAGCTTCATATATTTTACATTATGATTATTATTTACAAAAATAAATACATTTACATATTTGACTTCAAAGGTTAAAACTGAAAAAATACAGGAGGACATCATTACTTGAAAGTTTTAGTTAATGACCGCAATGCAACTTACACAATTACAAAAATGTTCTTTAGTCACTGTATGGTAAATATTTTTAAGGCTATTTTATTGATAGGGACACCCGTTGCTGGTAAGAACACTCGAGTGTTTTATACTAGGTCAAAATGTACCACTGGAATCTCAGTTCTCTAACCATCAAAATCATTAGACTTTTAAATAGTGTGAAAAAAGGCTAAGTGATGCTAATTTTGATGTATTAGTCAGCATTAAGTATTCTGCATCTAGACCTCAGCCATTTCAGTCATTGGGTAAGATCGGATACTGGCAGGATGTGGAGGAGGAATTTTTTGATATAATTTTTCTGATATTAAAACTTAAATAACCATTTTCATAGAGATTGCATTTCTAGGATTCTTCTAAGTACATGAAATTTTCTAACGTATTTAACAACAAGTGTGTTTTCACAAAAGCACAGAATTTAACATCACCATCTCTGGTGCCAGACCTTCAAGAAATAACAAAAGCAACAAATTTGGTGTTCCTGCCTGTTCTGCATGCTCTTTACAACCATTTTTGCCTCCGTGTTCTTCCTGTCTTTGTGCTTTTGACTACGCTGACCTCCAAACCTTAAATAGCATGAACTTGGTGCCTGCCGAGCCATGCATCTCTCCTCCTTCTAAAGCATTTCTTTCAGAAACAGCTCTTCATACCAAAATTCTTCCTTCCGTGTCATATCCCTGAACTGTTGTCCACAAAAGGATTTAAAACGGAGCAGGCTGCACAATGGTTTGTTAACCTTAGCTGAACTCACCACGAAGTACGTACAACCAAGCAAAGCTCCCGTTCGCATTTCCCAGGAGACTGCCCCGGCTACCGAAGGCCCCGTGGGGACGGCCACCCCTCCCAGGTTCATCATGAACCTCCACCTCTGCACGGAGGAGAACCCACAGTTCATGGCATCGTCGGGACCCAAACACACTGCTCATGAGTAGCCCAAGCAATACATTGCAGCACACCGCCACGCACCATTTCCCACCTCACCAAAACGTAGGGTGTAGGCTGAAAAATAAAAATCCAGCTGTATAATATATATATATATATGTGGATTATTGTAACCTTCTGCCTGGCAAGCAGAATCACCAAACTTAAGGCAAAAACACTGCCATGTGAAGCAAATCAGCATTTTCCTCTTTACCCTTCCAGGAAAATACTTAAGATAAATCCATGTAGAATTAGAATAAAAATTCAAACCTTAAAACCATGATCCTTACTTACTTATTTAAAATATGATCAAAATCTACTATGTCATTTCAATTCATCAACCCTGCCACAAATGCCTTCATTTTAAGGATGTGTCTGTGATTCTAAGACTGTAAATCTACCACAAAGCATTCTTCCAAAACCTTTACTGAGCTTAAAGGAGAAGGATTTATGCTGGGTAATATCCAACCAACATTGCCCTTGCCTATCAAAATAATTATTCCCCCGATGAGGAATAAAGTGTTATGCAACAATACATAATTTCTTACTTGGATCCTGTAAGAGATGTATGAAGAACCAACCTAAACTCAGAATTTCTTAGAAGTGTTCAGAACTTTCCATGAAATACCAAAATGTATAATTCTGTAACCGTTATGTATTTAAAAGGCAGAGTTAAATTCACACACCTGTTAACTGCATCACCAAACTGAAATTAAAAATTCAATACATGGCAAGCAGTGTACTGAGTGCTGCGTTATACCTGAGAGCTTTGAGGTATATTAATGGTGCTATTGATTTTAAAATTTATTATCTTCCTTACATTTGATGACTTCTGCTCATTTTGGTAATGAAGATGGGGTGTAAAGGAGCAAAGAAGCAAACTGCAACCCTGCAGTGTTTTCCCGCTGGTCGTCCTTAAACAGACAAATTCAGAGAAGGTACAGTGGTCCAGAGCACTCCGTATTTCAGTAAATGCAACTAATCTGTGCACAAAGCCTTTCATTTATTTACAGACATACCCTTAAAAAAAAAAAAAGCCACCTGTGCTTTGATTTGCATTGTATTACCCAGATCTGCCTGACAAACCAGAAAGATTTACTGGCTGGCAGTCTCTGGCCTAAAGGCGCATCACCTAACAGTACAAAACCGTAACTTACGAGCCAGACGGATCTCCTTAAAATGATTTTATCTGTTCCAAAGACATACAAAGCTTTGGCCAGATCTCCAATAACATACTTCAGGCACGAAGATATTCTCTGCAGCCTCTGAGCTTCTCTACTTTTTAATAAACTATTGTTTCCCTTTGTAATGTATAATAAATCATGTACTAGGATTATTCTTGATGGAAATACATTTTTTGTAAGGTAGCTCTGTATTGATTTGAATGAAGAATTATGGTTCAAAAATCACTTGAAATATATTAATAACTCAAGACAATAAAACACTGGGTTACTTTTTTAAAAGGCAGAATGAAGTTAAATAATTCAGTCATACAACTGCCAATGACGAAATTAAGAATTCAAGACTGAACAATAATAAGACATTTTAGATACAGACCAGCCCAAACGAGGGGGAAAAAAAACCACGTTTGCATACAACTGACCTCGAGCCTTAGGGCACTGCAGTGCTAACTAACTTCCACATGGAGATACAGACCCTTAGAAGCACTAGGAGCTCCAGTCTTAAAAACTGCAAAATAGTAAGCAACTGCTACATTTCGTTTTTAAAACGGCATTACTGATCACATGGACAAAACCAACAGAGAAGAAAATAAGCAAAGCAAGCAGTAATGCTCCAGCTGGTTTAGGGGACACAATACAACATGGTGCCAACCAACCATATAAATTTCCCCGAGGCACAAAACACACTTTAAACAAGCGCCTACACCTGAACTAGCAGAAGAGTGGAAAGCAGTTAGAACAGCCTTTTAAACAGAAATATAAGGCTAAGACCAGAACCACATTCTTAAATGAAAATGGTGAGTGGTAAAATTTTCAGTCCCCTCCTAGCAAATGAATCCTGCAGCTCACGAAAGGATGAAGCCTGGATTTCCGAGTTGTGTCCTCCATCCTTGACACCCCCACTGCTGCCACAGCTTCAGGAATTATCTGGGTTCTCTAGACCTTTCTACAGTACTTTGGCACATCCCTTAGGTACTGGCTGGGCAAGAGGCAGCCTGTGCTGTGTCAGACTGCTATCTCCAAAGATGTTTATTAGTTGGCTGATGCACAGATGCTCACTGCCAAGCCCATCTATCCTGGTAACAGTTCAATTCACGTTACAGCCTCTCTCCCAGCAGTGGCACTTGATCTAGATTGATCTTTCCTAAGCAAATGTCTGTTTTCACAGACCTACTCTACTTCTGCCTGTTTCTCCCCCACCACAACATGAAAGGGTTAAAACTCCTGAGGAGAAAAATACTGATGAAGCAGGCTGGCAGACAGATGCACAGCAAGCACACATTAGATACATTTCTATAGGAAATTTGCCTTATATAGCAAAATAATGTCTACTATCACCATTAGCTATTAGAAACAAACTTCCAAGATGCCACCCTGACTTAACTTTACCTGAAAGTGACTGTTAATCCCTTAGAGATGTGAAATCACCCACTAACTTGGTGCAATACAATAACAAGCAGGAATAAGCTTTATTTTCTGTATTTTAAATTAATGTTTTAGGGCCTCCCAGGAAAACCCACCTTGAGAAATGGAGTCTTAGACATCAATGCCCTGGCTGTGCCTGTAGCTTGGTTCTACCTGAGCAGATGAGATCAAATTGCACTTTTAAAACACGGAAGAACTACGCTGCAAGAACCAACCCCTGTAGCACAGTCAATATGCCTCAGTGGATACACCAGGGAAATGTTTATAGAGTTCTCCAACTACAACATTTACTGAACAACTTAATCAAACTGACCTAATACTCTGGAAAGAACTGAAAAATTTTTTCCACTACACAACATGCAAGTCCAAACCTCCTTGTAAATAACCTCCACTGAAGTGGTTAGCTGGATACAAGCGTCTCAAACATCAAAAGGCATTCCAAACTTTAAAACTCAATTTGTTATTCTTTCTTGTCACATGTCTAAAAGGTTTATCATTTTTGCAGAGATTTATGTTCTTAAAGACCATAAAGAATGAAAGATGTAAGAGATTTCTTTTAATATGCCTGTACTTGTTACTGTTCTACTCTACCATCCTCATTCATGAGCACAACAGTAGAAGCAATCCAATGGTATTCTTTTTATGCCTTCCCAAGAAAAAAATAAATTAAAAACTTACAGTGTGTGTCTGCAGGGACAATTTTTAAGAGTTATGCAAAGCCTTTTGTTGCCTCTCTTAGTCCTGAAAATTTGCTTTCAGCAAAACTCACGGCACCATCTTACCTATAGAATAGTTCAGACTGTAAATAATGCTGTGCGTAATGCTTACTACTGTCAGTAGGGTCAATTATTACCACTGCTCTTGTTCATGGCTACTGATAAATTTGTAATTTATCTTCTACCAAAAACTAATTAAGCTTGACAACGTAATTGTAAGAAACCACATAAAAAATTGCTTTCCATTCTAGAGGTTGCTGCAACTCAGCAATCTAGCAGGATAGGAAGAGTGTGCAGCAGTACTTCTGTTTCAGGCAGCCCTTACCCTTTTGGAAGATTCGTAAGAGTATGAGACAGAGGTGCCTGGAGGAATGAAACATGGCCAGAATACTTACATTGCTACCTTAACTTTTACAGTAAGACCATGAAGCAGTCCTAAATGACTGCAGAAGACACCTCAGTTTTGCATATCGTGTTAAATACAACATACTCTGTGATGTTTGTATGATGATGGACTTTGGCTTCAGATCAGCTCTGAGGAAAGAGTCATCTATCAGAGAGATAGATGTTGCCAGTCCAGTTCTCAAGTTCTCACAAGCTGAACGTGTGAAATTTGATATATGCCACCACCAATGTGGTTCTGAGTTAATTTTTACAAAATTTATACTGAAACGTAGTCATTAAAAACGAAGTACAATGTGGCTAGAACATAAGCCAAACAAATGATGTTCCTTAAAGTTCTGTCAATGATTCTCATTAAAAAAAACCTTCCAGCAGACCAAAATGCAACTCGCAGACAGTGCTAATGACTGAAATCTAGCTCTGAAAGCCTGTCTTAACGTCTTTTTCAGTGTAATTTGACCTTTGAGACAGATGGTCTGCAGTGACACAGACTAACAAACCTAATGGCTAAATTCCGAGTTTTAAAATACAAGCAAGGTTTTGCTACCAGAGAATTTCACTGTACTTCCGCCCGGCAGAGCAGCTCCCCTTTTCCTAGAAGCCTTAATGTTAAGAAATACTATAGTGTATATATATTACATATACTGCATAGTGTGTGCATGTATATGTACAGTATATATGAGATACTATTTACTATAGTATTTCTTAACACTTACTGTGTCCACTACTCCCTGCACCAAGTGTCATCACCAGAGAGACTCCTAAATGTGACTAGAACATCCCTGTACTGGGAGACTGACTATGGACAGCTGCAATGCCATCAGGGGGTAATGCAGAACTGGTTAGAACAAGAAGCTAACCCCAGCCTGTATTGCTAAATGCTTCAAAACCTCATCATACTGACTGGACCAAATATACAAGATATTTAGCCTAGGTAAACACCTCTCTCAGTGTTTCCCCTTGCTGTGGTGTCTAGAGGATGGGCGGACTCAAGGGTGGTGGAAGCTGGGAATCAAAAAGCATAGTTAAAACCATCTCCTAGCAGAATTAACGCAGGTTGTGCATACTCTGGAGGTTGGCAGTACACCAGATAGGGTTCTTCACTCATTTAATGAAAGTGTAACTTCCCAGACAGCAACCATGACAGTCCAAAGGACAAAGTGAATCATAATCTCACTCCTGGCCTTCCCAAAAATATGAATTACAACTAAAATTTGGCATAATAACCAAAATGAGGACACTTTTTAAATTACCCAAGGCTAGTGGTAAAAAAAAAAAAAA